TCTAAATTGTTTAAATGTTATGTTAAATGTTATGCTAAGTTGTTAAATATTAAAAAAATACGTAAACTGTTCTAAATTATTTAAAAAAAGTATGATAAATGCTTTTTTTCTAAAAAGATATTCCCTAAGATCCTTAACTCTCTTCTGGAAAGCACGTTTCCTCAAAAATAATTTTTCTCTAATAATATAATACCTTGGTCTTGAAAATACGAAAATTACCGGGATTAAAGTTTTAAAAAGCATTAAGAAAAATTAACAATTTTATAAAAAATATTTCATTTTAGGCTATTGTGAGGAGTTCATGTGTTATTGCTTTGACATCTTCAGAATATTTAAATGATTCCTCCTGCATTGAACAGTTTAATATCGCTTTATGCTCTTCAAGATATCAAAATTCTGGTGATTTATTCATATTCCATGTTTCAGATATATCTTTACCTACTTATATGGGTTTTCATGGTTTTTTTGATTGCAGGTTTGTATTTTAAACTAAAAAATTGTTTGGGGTAGGAAATGTATTTGTTTTTATTGATGGATATATTTAAGTGTTTAAAAATTTGTTTAGTACTATAAATAATAGTTTATAATATATTGTAAAATTAAAAAATTTTTAGAACATCAAAAATGTTTTATTCCAAAAATGTAGAATTAATTTATTATAGGCAAAGTAATGAAAAGGTGACGAATGCTTGCAAAGATGTTTGTCGTTCTATATTTGGATCAACCATAAATGCTATATTTCCTGATCCTGTTGAAAATAACGAGATGTTGCTTGCTGTTGAGCACGATGAGATGCTATTATCAAAGAGCGTTTAGGTGTATCTGTTCTGAATGCTTTGGGAGGACCAATGTTTATTTAAAAAGTATATTCATCTGCTATCAATATGTCGGTGGAACGGATTTTTATTTATTAACAAAATTAATATTTATATTTTATTTGAAATATTTTTATTATTATTTGATTATTAATATTTTTATTTTATTTGAAATATTATTATTATTTGAAAAATTTTTATTATTAATTTAGTATATAATTTGTTTAAATAATATTTATTTGTATTATAATGTTGAAAGTATAAAAAATTTTGATCTGGTATGAATTACTCTGATTTTTTATATATAAGGTTGAACTTAATTCATATCAACTTTAGTACCATATCAACGTTATTACATTTCATGAACTTAATTCATATCAACGTTATTACATTTCATGAACTTAATTCATATCAACGTTATTACATTTCATGAACTTAATTCATATCAACGTTATTACATTTTATGAACTTAATTCATATCAACGTTATTACATTTCATGAACTTAATTCATATCAACGTTATTACATTTCATGAACTTAATTCATATCAACGTTATTACATTTTATGAACTTAATTCATATCAACGTTATTACATTTCATGAACTTAATTCATATCAACGTTATTACATTTCATGAACTTAATTCATATCAACGTTATTACATTTCATGAACTTAATTCATATCAACGTTATTACATTTCATGAACTTAATTCATATCAACGTTATTACATTTCATGAACTTAATTCATATCAACGTTATTACATTTCATGAACTTAATTCATATCAACGTTATTACATTTCATGAACTTAATTCATATCAACGTTATTACATTTCATGAACTTAATTCATATCAACGTTATTACATTTCATGAACTTAATTCATATCAACGTTATTACATTTCATGAACTTAATTCATATCAACGTTATTACATTTCATGAACTTAATTCATATCAACGTTATTACATTTCATGAACTTAATTCATATCAACGTTATTACATTTCATGAACTTAATTCATATCAACGTTATTACATTTCATGAACTTAATTCATATCAACGTTATTACATTTCATGAACTTAATTCATATCAACGTTATTACATTTCATGAACTTAATTCATATCAACGTTATTACATTTCATGAACTTAATTCATATCAACGTTATTACATTTCATGAACTTAATTCATATCAACGTTATTACATTTCATGAACTTAATTCATATCAACGTTATTACATTTCATGAACTTAATTCATACCATATCAACGTTATTACATTTCATGAACTTAATTCATACCATATCAACGTTATTACATTTCATGAACTTAATTCATATCAACGTTATTACATTTCATGAACTTAATTCATACCATATCAACGTTATTACATTTCATGAACTTAATTCATACCATATCAACGTTATTACATTTCATACCTCACTCTAACAATTATCTATAATCTTAAACAAACCGATTAATCTAAATAATCATTTCATGAGTTTATGTGTTATGAGTTTATGCCTACTGTAATGCATATTTTTGAGGTTTTATAGGAGAGGAGGTTAAAAACAGCGAGCTATAAAGCCTATTTTTGAGGCTTTATAAGAGAGGTGGAAGGAGGGGGGAAGGTTGAAAACAGCAAGAACGTACGGATTTTGACTACCTGTTGTCCTCTATTTCTCCTAAAACTTAAATTCAATTTTTTTTTTTTAATTTTTTTTTTGATATAAATATAGATATTAGGGTAGAGCGATTGAAAAATTTGAAAATTTTTTAAAATACGTCTGCCTGTGTTGCGAATCGTAGTATTTCAGTAAAAAATAACCTTTTTATTTATCAAAAAAATGAGTTCCTGATGTTCTTCAAATTTTTGACGAATCCTATAATGAGTATCAAGTCCCAGGTTGCATTGGTTTTAAAAAAAAACTTTAACTAATATTAAAAATTAGAAAAAAATATTTGGGCTCGAGAGGAACCTCAAAAACTCATCTGAATCCAAGCAGATGAGTTTTTGTCTTTCAGGAATGATTATTTTCAAACTTATTTTTTTGCAATGAAAATTGTTTCACCCTAATAGATATTTTGAATACCTTAAAAGTATATTTGTTTTTTAAAATATGAGTTGAATAGATACATACTTCAAAAACAAGCTGTTAGAACTAAAAAGTAACTGGAAAAAAACGCGGGATGCTATTAAAGAGATTTTTTGAGAACAAAAAATACACAACAAAGTCTTACTAAGCGTGATTATTGTAGACAGCCTACAGATCTCTAATGTAAAATCGGTGGCAACAAAATTTAATGAGTTTTTTCGTAAATATTGGTCCAAACTTAGTCAGCAAAATTAAACACACTCCTGCATATTTCTTGAGCTATCTATCGAAGTCGGATAAAAACTTAGCATTTAAAAAACTCACTAGTAAAGAACTTGATGATTCAATAAATTAAATATGAATAAAGCAACAGGCTATGATTCAATTTCAGTAAGCATGATCAAAGACTGCTATTATCTTATTAAATATGTTTTATTAGATATTTTTAACAAATCGCTTAAAACAGGTGTTTACACCCATTTTTAAATTAGGAGATGAAAGTCTGGTTAGAAATTATTGACCTATATCGGTATTACCTGTTTTTTCAAAAATCTTCGAATGTATCATGCATAATAGGATATTTGCATTTTTGTTTGATACTTTATTATAACCAATATGGTTTTCAATCAAACTACTTAACGGAACACGCACTTATGCAACTTGTTGAAGTTATCAGTGGAGCATCTTCATAACAAGTTCACCTCAGGTATATTCCTAGACTTGTCAAAAGCTTTTGAAACCGTTAACCATCAGATTTTATTAGAAAAACTATAATATTATGAGATAAGCCACAAATACCATAAATGGTTTACCAGTTACTTAACTGATTGAAAGCAGTTTATTCCTCTAAATGATGGCTTTCAGACAAACAAAGTTAAAGTGGAAGATATGCTTTAGTTTTGCGAACGTTTCCATTTATATCTTTGTAATCTTTATAATAAACCTACTTTTAAATAATGGCAAACAAATTCTCCTTAAGTCAAGTAAAGGATTTATTAGAAATTCATAAAAATACGATAATAAAAATCTTTAATGATCGTATACAAAAATTAGAAAGCGAACTGATTATAAAATGATAAAACAAAGAATTAAAACGTGAACTTAATGAGACAAATAAAAATATCGAGTTTGTTAGTGAACAATACGAAACAATAAACGAAACATTAAATAATACTAAAAAAAATGGACACAGTCAACTAAAGGTAGAAGAATTGCTAAAGTTGGTGGTGTGAATGTAAAAGAAAATGTTGCAAACGTTTTAAATAGGTATATTAATTGTTTTTACTATAATTAGTCATATAAATATATTTTGAAACTGTCAAATGTATATTTTTTATAGTCTAAAATACTTTCAATAAAGATAATTTCAATAAAGATAAAATATACAGTGTAAATCTCAATACATTAATTATTTAATTCCCTTAAAATGGTGTATGCATCTATCCCGCCCCCACACTAAATTTTCTTAAACAGAATACCAAGCAAACTAAAATGTCTATCCACAGTGCCAACAACTATTCTCAGCTGTCCGCTCCACTGTCCACAACTATAAAAAATGTTAGCAAGTGAATGACTTTTTTTATATAAGGATTTGTTTCTTTCATTTAAAGACTTTCTAATTTTGAGTCACCCCCAACATGTTTTATAGCATGAAATGAATAAAATATGTATAGTTATATTGACATAATTTGTTAATAGGCTGATGAATAATCATCTGATGAGTGATTTCAATATGAAGGGTAAGCATGGAAAGCAGCCCTTTGGTGTTACTTGCCTTTTTAAAATAATAAAAAGTAAGTTTTTTTTTAATGTGTATGTTTGTATGTTGCACATATATTTTACACTGTATATAAAGTTGGGCTAAGAATAAAACCATGAAAATAAACCACCTTAAAAACAACAAAAAGTGATAAAACCATAAAATAAACCACCTTAAAAGTCAATAGTGCTGGTAAACAGAAAACTTTAGTCCGGCTTTCTTTTTTAGTTGTTAAATTGTTGAAAATAAAATTATGCTTTTTTCTGTCAAACGCTCTTAATTTAAACAACTGCAATGAGAAGGATGTCGACGATGCCATTTCAAAGCACCTTAAGCATGCGCCAAAGAGGGAAGGTGGACGTAAATTCACCGATAAAAATGTTTTTTAACGAGATTTTGAAATGTTAATGTAACGTATTTGTTTATAAATGTATTAAAATACAGTTATATTTTTAGTCAATATAGATTTCTTTAAATTTATTTTTTTTATTTGTTATTATAACTCCAAAGTATAGTTTAAAATAGAGATATCATAACAACTTATAAGCCGTTGTTATACTTTTAGTTTAATAAAACTTTATTCGGGTTTTTTAATTTATACGGCAAATAATTTAAACGTTGTTTCTCCTATGACTTTTAACTAGTGTGAGACGTTTAACTGTAACCAAAATGCGACGTCAATGTTTAACATCCTTAATGCGTAATATTTTACGTTATTTTAAATTTAAATATTGCCATGTATTTGACGTCGAAACTTAACAGCATTTAGACGTCAAATCATATTCGATTTTCAACGTCGAAAATAGAAGGTGTTTTGTTATCAGATTTCTACGTCATTCCGTAATATTCAACGTCAAAACAACGTTAATTTAACCTAATTTCGACGTTATATTTACGTCGAAATGTTTGCTGGTTTATCTTCCCGGAATGCCCAAAATGAAAAAAACCAGAAGTTTGGATATTTAATCTCTTCCTCTTTTGCTATGCGTATATTTAAATTCATCTCCTTATCCAAAAACTACTTACGTATTTGAAATAACTTAAATTGTGGTATAAAGTTACGCGTAAAGAATTGACGTATGAATCAATTTTAAAAAAACAAAAATAAAACTGAAAAGTAAAAGTCAGTTAATTTTACCCATTAAATAATCAATCTATGTTTAATTACAATAACCTACTATATAAGATAGTTCAAATGAGCATGCTATTGTTCAATTTGTACGCAACCTCTTCAAAACCTTGAAAGCTCAATATACATTAAATATTTTTATAGATTTTTTTTTAGATAGTTATTTAGGAGCTCTCAGAAGTCCTTACGGTCTTATCATAGAGCACCGCGGGGAGCATTTAGCTGGAAGTTTACGCCTTCCTCAGTACCGATGTCGCTCTTGGGCTAGAGCTGGCGTCGAACCT